AGGTTGCCAGTCTGGGGGGGTGTGTCGGAATATAGAGGTTCCTTACCGAACAATACCAACTGATGCCTGATTGATGCCTTGCTGATATCATATGGCGAAAAGCAGCGTATTTACTCTGCTATTACTGCTTTTGAAACCGCACAATCGCTTAGTATACTCTATAAGGTATTTACGGTCGTATATAGGATCCTAGATAGCACACTTTTGCAAGAATCAGAGACCTCAACCATATACGCTTGATACGTACTTTCAACCCTGACTAAGCCACATTTCCGACATATGGTAGTTGATCACGTGATGCGCCTGTTAACTATCACCTATGATCCCTGTCCTTCCTGCATTATTACCAGAGCTTATAGTCCAATGATTCTGCCTTGACTCCCCGCATAATCACGTGAGATTAGTGCCTTAGGGGTCTGTAACAGTAAGAAGGTGTGTCACGGGCTCGGAATAGTAGATAATAACGAACTGAATTCCTATCTAGACTATTGTAGCCATCGACGAGAATATCGAATCTGGAGAAGAAAAGAGAAGAGGAAATCTATCTAGGTAATGAAGGGGTTTTATAGAGGTTGTTGCCGACATGGCTGAGTAGCAGCATTTGCGATGTATCATTCATTGCTGCAGTGTTGAGCCGTCATATATGAGTCGTCACAAGGTGGTGATGGTAAGTGCTTGGACCAAAACAAGCATAAAAAACAGTAATTAATTTAGATGAATCAGCGATTTATGCAAAAGAATTAGGCCAAATCAGGCCAAATAAGGTGTCTTTAGGTGTCTATGGGCAACCTATGTCAATGTCTAGCCAAGCCACACTTCTTTTCAAAAGGAGCTTTTGATAAGCGACATCTTACATAACTTTACTTATAGTCAGCTTACTTTGCCCGGTGATGCTGGAATTCCTCCTTGAAAAAGGATGTGTCAACCAAACTGTTCAGATTTTGGAGTTACGGCCTGGTTAAAGACAGCTCTTATTCCGAACGCTTCCCCACAAGCCCTATATAGCCCTAACAAACTGTCACATACTATCTAATAACCCGTAAATCTTATGTATTGCGGGAATTTGGATAGATCTTGTGTATTGTTTGGGGGAGACCAGGCAGGGATGGATTTGACGCATTCAAATCAGGAGCAGCAACAGCGGCTATCCGACGACGGAAATACCAGATGATAGCGGCTAGAGCTATGAAAAATGTACAACCAACTCTCACTGCCAGTGTAGGTTCCAGTGCCGCTGCTTGAATCCGAAGACCCACTAGATGTTGAAGGATTAGTGGATGGAGGCGTTGTTTTTGCGGTGTCGTTCTTTGGTAGAATTCTGAAATGATTGCGGGTAAAGGTGATTATGTCAATGTAGACACTAGTTAAACATCTTAAAATAGAAAGGATATGTCAGATCTATTCCTGATTACACAATCCAGTTCCAGGATCTCTATCATAATAGCCATACTCATTAGTCTAGAGAGAGATTAACATATTGCTGCCGGAGCTGAAATACGCCCAATGAACTGTCTTGAATCTGTGCCAACTCGCTGAAGTACAAATGAATGATTTTTGAAGTTGGTTTTCCCAGAGGATTCGGAGCGTCTGGTCCATATCGTACTCCAGACTTTTGTCAGATTTTTCTGGAGGACACCAGAAGGAATTAACCGCGTTGACCTCAACAATGGAATAGAGCAAAAGGATTAAAAGGGAGCTCGACATGTTTACTGTGCTTTTCAAGATTCGAATACCACAACCAGGGGCAAGATTGAAAGCAACCAGGAAGCTCGAAAGGAGAGCGATACTAAGTTAGTGGAAGTGGAATGTTTACATTTTGAAACTGATAAGTTTGTACGGGCATCTTCTCTGAAGGCACTACACGTCGTCTTGCCAATTGAGCAAGACTCGAGTTGCTCAAGATATGTGGAAGGGTTGTCTTCTAGTGACGTGCATATGGCGTATGGCACCTTCCCCCGATTAGCGACATTGCATACCTTCCGAGTTAATGCGCGATGTATTTAATGATAAACAGGGGCCGATCTTGAAGAGACGAAAAAAATCAACTTTCCTTCTGTGTATTTCAAATACAACTGGGTGGTCCATTTCCGACGTCGGGAATAAGTCGTCATATCAATCCCGATGTTTGGGATATTTATCGGCTCATTCACGGACCCTTAGATTTCTCGAAAACACAGGCTTTTACACAATTTATTTTCTCTCAAATATCATACAAAAATGCCTGGCTCCTTTTCTGAAGATATGGCACCACCTCAATACAGCTTTATGGACGATTACAGCGAGGGTGCACACCCCCAACTTCTCGAAGCTCTTGTGCGCACCAACTCGACCCAGCAAGTCTCCTATGGAAACGATGAGCACAGCAATGAAGCCCGCCAATTAATCCGGACCAAGCTTTCTGCCACCGAGGATGAGGTAGCCATTCACTTTGTGCCTAGCGGAACTTCCGCCAATCTCATCTGCATCGCGAGCTGTTTACGACCTTTCGAGGCGGTGTTGACCATCGACTCTGGACATGTTGTTAGTAAAGAAGCGGGTGCTATTGAGGCTACTGGACACAAGCTGATTGTTGTCCCTGGGGAAGGAGGAAAAATGACGCCCCAAAATTTAGAGAAGGCTGTTCGCCAGAATCAGTTCTTCCCGCACAACGCTAAACCGCGGCTGGTTTATATTTCCAATGCCACGGAGCTGGGAACGATCTATACCAAACGAGAACTGGAAGATATCAGTGCTGTGTGCAAACGCTGGGACCTGTTGCTTCTCATAGATGGCGCTCGTATTGGAGTAGCCCTGAGTGCCCCGTCAAATGATTTGACACTGCGAGACCTAATCGACCTAACCGACATATTCTGGATTGGTGGTACCAAGAATGGTGCATTACTGGGGGAAGCAATTGTTGTACGGAACCACCTGGCGGACGGCTTTGCTTTCTATTTGAAGCAACACGGTGCATTGCTGGCCAAGGGTCGCATAATAGGGGTTCAGTTTGCAGAGCTCTTCCGGGAGAATCTCTTCTCTGAACTTGCAGCAAATGCCAACAACGTGGCCCAGATGATTTCAGACAATTTTCAGAGCCTGGGTTATCAACTATCCGCGAAAACCGAGACAAATCAAGTATTTGTGAGGTTGCCAGAAAGCTTGGTTAGACGGCTTGAGGAACGGTTTCGCTTTTATACTTGGGAGCATCTCGACGATCAACAAGTTGTGGTTAGGATCGTTACGTCGTGGGCTACGGACACATCAATAGTGGATAAGTTCAACGCGTGGGTTCATAAGTGGACTATATAAACCAATCTGCAATATCAATCATGAGAAGTGTACGCAAATTTCAATGAAACAAGCTCAGTACAGTCTAGCTGCCTTCAATACTGAGTGCTATCGACTATACAGCGGTCTTTGCCCTAGAAATAGCTAGTCAATACCAGTACGAACGGCAACTTATGATAATTGGCATTTAGGGAGGTTTATACAATTGAAGCGCTAGTAGTAATAGCAGTACATATAGAGTCCTCTTATACCAAAACTACTTTTATCTGGAGAAATGCTCGCTTCGTTGTACTGATTACTAATCGCCTAAATTGGCATTCCCGACATCTCGATTCCCGACTTATTCTCTTGTCATTCCCGAGGAATGCATTAGAAAAAAAATGCGCCTTTCTATATCCTGCGATTCTTGTCGGTATGTAAAGCCATTGTCATGATTTGCGCAGTTCCACTAAAATTGATTACAGGAAAGCGAAAGTCAAGTGCTTTCATGAGGGCCGTCCTCCATGCCGTCGATGTCAACGAGGAAATAGACATGGTTGTGTACTCACAGATCCGCGAGCGTCACCGTTACGGCCACAGGGAGAATCATTGATTGTCCAGCGTAAGAGAAAATCTGCTTCTAGGGCTGTGGTTGATAATGCCATTCCCAATCTCGTGGACTCCAGTGATGAGCCCCAACTTCTGCCTCCCAACCCGGTTGCCTCTCTATCTCCGTCTACTCTCATCAGCGCCTGTGACACCTACCGTAAGAAGTTCCCTGTAGCGAACTTTCTTCACTATCCGTCACTTATTGCCAACGTATCGGCCAATCCCTCTTCTGTGGACTCGGTGTTCGTTGCCTCATTGCTTTCCCTCTGTGCCCGCTTCCTTCCGGAGTATAACCTGGACCTCGGTGAAACATATGCAGAGTATGCACGCTTGGAGCTGGCTCGGAAAGCCTTCGAAACCCCCTCATTATCCCTGGCACAGTCTTTGGTGATGCTTGTATTCTACGAGTGGGGTTCGGGGCGTCCATACAAAGCGTGGATGTATAGTGGTGAGCATATATCATCTTTCCATTCGATATATCACTGACACTGTTAGGAATGGCGACTTACATGATACAGTCATTGCTGAAGACAGCAGATGATAGCATGGAGCACAATCCAGATGAATTTAATGACTCTCAAATCCAGTATGAGCAGCTTGTCCGCACGTATTGGGTCTGCTTCGCCCAAGACTGCGAGCTAAGCTCAGGAGCCCGCCAACATTTCGCCCTCTCCTTTCGCCATATTTCCGTTCCCCTACCAGTCAGCGATTATGATTTTAATTTCGGCCGCCGGGGGCCACCTAGATTGATGCCAGCGGATCTTACTCGAGGCTCCCCGCTGTGTGTGAAATTGACTATCGAACACGGCTTGACGGTCGTGACGCGCGGTTTTGATATATTCGTGCGCATCTTACGCTTTGCTAATGAAAGTCGTCGCGGTAGAGTGTCGTTAATGACGACGGCACTGTCATCACCACAGCAAACCTGGCAAGTTCTCAAAGAAGAGCTAGATGAATGGAGATCCCTACAAGACTCGACTCTTCAGTACCCGGCTACCAGCGTTCAAGTGCATGTTGCTCTCGGATACGGGGAGCTCTTTGCTTATATCAATCTGATACATTTCATGAGGTAGGATCGCATCAACACCGTCAACTGGAGCACCAAGTAACTGACTTGCTGAAGCATCCTTTTCCTCTACCGGGACCAGCTTCTGTCCAGATTAAAGCAGATCCATGATCCACACCACGATCCTCAGCCTTCAACTGGTTTGGACGGGTCCGCTTGGAGCGAAGATGCGCTTGACTGCCTTTTTGAAGCAGCGCAGAATATTGGAGGTATTTTATCAGCTCTAGAAAGCTGTTCAACGTCCGTCATCACTCCATATGCCGGGTTCAGCGTCTTTGTTGCTGCCCATATAAATATGTACGGCACTGTATCACCACTGCGTTATCCAGGTGGACAAGAGCGCGCGAAGGACGAGAAGAAGGCTAATTTTTCGTATCTCGAGCGGCTGTGCAAATTCTGGCCGGTTGGTCACAACTGGGTAAGTCTGCCGTTGCTATCCCGTTACCTACACCAGACTAACAATCGGTAGTGGCGAGCTGTACAGGACGCAAACAAGTTCTACGAAACGGCTAGAAATAACCAGGAACATGCAATTTCAGGTGATCGTCCTGGCCATATAACTCTAGCAGGGACTCTTGATGAATATGGGGACATACGATCTTCTCGTCCGCGGAATGAGCTGTCCTCGAATACGAGCCACATTCCGCTGCATAGGGGACTAACTGACTCCCCTTCTCAGTCTCGTTTGCCGTTCAATGACCAGTTTATATTGGATGCTCAGGAATTGGAGACGGACATGTTGCAATGGCCCTTTATTGACGAAACTTGGTCATCTGGGTTTGATACGGGGTTTGACGCCGCGTGGCCTAGTTTTGGCTAACAAAAGTACAAGAATCGCATAATAATGTGCGATATACCAGATTGGACTACAATGGCTTCAAGAAACCTTTATTCCAGCTACAAATGGCTGTATGACTGGAAAATATCGCCTTTTGATCCTTGATGGCCATGGGAGTCATTTGACACCTAGATTTGATGAGATATGTAGTCAGAATGATATTATACCAATCTGCATGCCTGCTCATTCATCACATCTCTTACAGCCCCTTGATGTGGGTTCCTTCTCACCTTTGAAGCGGGCGTATGGACGTCTGGTTGAGAACAAGGCACAGATCAACATCAGCCATATTGACAAATTTGACTTTCTTGAAGCCTATCCCCAAGCTCGTAAAGAGGCCTTTAAGGTGGAAAATATCAGGAATAACTTTGCTGCAAGTGGCTTGGTTCCTTTCAATCCAGAAAGAGTGCTTGGGCAGTTCAATATACAACTCAAGACCCCTACACCACCAGGCAGCCATTCTACTGATTCAGCACCCAAAACGCCTCATAATCTCAAGCAACTGGAAAAGCAGGTATCTACAATCAAGGAGTTTCTAAGGCAGCGTACACAGAGTCCTCCAATTCCAATGAATGATGCAATAAACCGAGTTGCCAAAGGGTGCGAAATCCATATGAATAGTGCAATCCTTCTTTCCAAAGAAGTCCAGGATTTACGGGCTGCACATGAGAAAACACTGCAAAAGCAGAATCGATCCAAGCGACAATGGCTTGTACGGATGGCCTGTCAATTCAAGAAGGCATAGAGCTTGTGCAGCAGAGGAATGAGGTCCAGAGAACTCAAGATACTGTACAGATGGAGACTGCGCCATCGCACTTTCCGGTCAAGAACAGCGAAAGGTCTAATTTAAACATTCAAAATAGCATTAATATATAATTACTAATTATTACCACGATTAGGACAGTGAGTCCTTCTATGTCCCAAAACATTGCAATCAGAATACCGTGGTGGTGCCCGTACATGTGGTTGAAATGTCGATGGCGCAGTCTCCATCTGTACAGTATCTTGAGTTCTCTGGACCTCATTCCTCTGCTGCACAAGCTCTATGCCTTCTTGAATTGACAGGCCATCCGTACAAGCCATTGTCGCTTGGATCGATTCTGCTTTTGCAGTGTTTTCTCATGTGCAGCCCGTAAATCTTGGACTTCTTTGGAAAGTGTCACGGCGCTCTACTAGGATAATGAAACATCCAACTCATGGGTTCTACCTAGGTAGCTATCGACGAGAATAATCAACATGAGGAAGGAAGAAAGGAAGTGACGCCGTATATATCAACAAAGCAAACAACTGCATCTCACGTGATAGCCAGACAACGTGACCAGGCCGTCACAGTTAAGGATCATCCACTTCAATAAGTCACCTTCTGTCAGGGTGCAGGGTCAGGTACAGATATTAGGAATTGACGAACAGGTTAAGCTACAGGTCAGGCTATCTACAGATACATAGACAAGACGCAGCTGCCCGAACTAACTAGGATTGGTGTAGTGAGATATCCGATTGACAGATTGGGGTATAATACGGAGAGTCTCGGGGTTTTGGGGCAAAACCCACTCCACTCCGCCCCGAGTGACACTCTACCTGTAACATATAGTATTGGGAAGGTTGTTGGATGAGATGGGTTGAGGAAGATCACTCTTAAACAAATCACCCCGCTTGCGCTTTCTTGGGCTGAGTAAAAGCAACCATCTTACAATGCATTGGGATCATTTGTAGCATCTCACTGTGGAAGTAGCACGCCTGGTCAAGTCCCTGTGATGGAGGACCAAAGCATGATCACAGCTTGCTGGATAATCTGCTCCCATAATGGAAGAAAGAAGAATGGACCCAGTGGTGGTGTAAAAGGATGCAGAAATTATCTATGTCCAGTGTGCTCTTCTTTTTTGCATGCCTGCTGATCTTGTGCTCTGCAGGAAAAACTTGTTCAAGGTACTGTCATCTATTGAGTATCCAGGTGTAAGAATGAAACAGGAAGCTTAAACATACTTGTTGCATCTGCTCATGAACATGATGATTTACAGGCTGGCAGGCAAACAAACCAAAGTATTGGCACAAGCACTGCCAATATTCATTGTAGGTCTGAAGTTTTTTCTTGCGCGAGGTCCTTGGCATCCAGTCAAGAAAGTTCATATAGATGGCTTTATCTTCTGAGAGTAGATATTCAATGTAGTCTTCATTTGAGTGTGCACAATATCTGCAGGCTGTTAGTTTTATTGAAACACCCTTTGGTCCACTGTGAGAGTGAAGGGGTGACATGCCTTACCAGTACTGTTCAACAACTGCAAGACCTTTAAATGTCTTGGGCTTGTAGTTAGGGGGAAGCCATCCCAGATTTTGGGAATACTCAAGTCTGGTCCGAGTCTCCTCACACAGGACAGGATCAGCCCAGTACTGGTGCTCATCGGGGTTCGCAGGGTAAGCCAACAGCACAGGGTGCTACGAAAGAAAAATGGGCTTGGCGGGTGCAGAAAAGTGGCCAGACCATGTGTTTGAATCATTAAAGTGGCAACAGGTCGCTGAAACGCCGAGTGGAAATGACGCCGTAAACGGCTTCACTGGCGGTCATTTTCGGCGTCGATTTCACAGGTACTCACATTCTAGTTGTAATTGCAAGTTTGCAATCCCATGAGAAGTACGGATATTACTAACAGCCGAGATACCCTACATGCTGCGAATCGAAACATATGTAACGAACGGATGTTTATTTAGCATATCCACCGGCCTGCGGGTAAACATGTTAGCCCTAGCTGCGTAACGGTCGTAGAAAACAATGCATACAGCAAGGTAGTACACCGTAGATAGACGCACACATACACCGGCGATATATCTTTTTCTTCGAGGATACATGGATATATAACGCTTGGTTTTGGTCGAGTCATAGCACGCGACATCTTTCCATTACCTTATCCCCAGCGTCACACAGTGGCAAAGAAATCCCCTTATGTTTATTCCACGGTGTATTGAATGCTAGCATAGCAACTTCTTGTACCACATTCCTGCGGGAGGAATGTATAAGGGAGAGGGTATGTAACCCATCGATCACCGACCATTAACCGACCACCATGGATCCAACATACACAACCCGGCAGTTCCGTGAATATCTCCAGTACAGCTATCCTCCTGCTACACTGCTTATCTTTTTTATTGCTTTTATTACGAATTCAATTCTGATTGCTAAAGGCTCGCAACATGGTAGCGTGTTACAGTATAGTCCCGAGGGAAAGCCCTTTCCCAAGAGGTTGAGGGGCATGATAAACAAGATTGCGGATGCTCATAAGCACGAGTTCTCTTCTAGAGCAAGATATGCATTCGTATGGCTTGTGGTTGGTGTTTTGGTGACTTTTATGGCGGATGCTGCTGTCCATATCAGTCATGTTATTGCAGCCAAGGAGGAGAGCTGGTGGTGCGGGCAGGCGACTGTGGTGAGTTATTCGCCCTGCATGACCTGAAGATAGCTAACAAAATTACCGTGTAGATCTACGTCGTGGGATCATTCTTCTCCAACACAGTTATCTTCCTCTCCCTCCTCGACACACATCCCGCCCCAACCTTCGCGCAATTCATTCCCTGGTCCATAGCAATTCCATTCGAACTCGCCATAGTCGCAACCTCTCTGTCAATATATACCAACATACACCATGAGCCGGCCGTTGGGGATGCATTCGGTGGCCCTCTACGGGAAAGAATCACAAATTGGGAATCGCTGGAGGTGATATCCGGTGTTGTTCGACTTGTGGTTCTGACTTTCCTGGTCGCTTTGTATGTGCTGCAATTTATTCGCGCGAATTCGGACGAGGGCTCTCGGGAAGATAGCCCAATGGAGCAGATAGGACTACTCGACTCTTCTGAAACTAAGATTGGGGCCGAGCATAGCGAAGGCGAAATTGGTACTCCCGGAAAACAAACAATACCGCCGAATACCTGGTGGCACTACCTCAGCGGTTACTCCGTACTCTTCCCATACCTATGGCCGTCCAAATCTCGTCGCCTCCAGTTCATCGTCATATTCTGCTTCGGCCTCCTAATCCTCCAACGTATCGCCAACGTCCTAGTCCCCTACCAAGTTGGCGTAATCACCGAAGCCCTCTCCATCGAAGACAACAAACTCCACCTCCCCTGGCTCCAAATCTGCCTCTACATAATCTATCGCTGGCTCCAGGGCAGCCAGGGCATTCTCGAGTCCTTGCGCTCATATCTCTGGATTCCCATTAGTCAATATGCATATATGGAAGTGTCGACTGCATCGTTCGAGCATGTGCATTCGCTCAGTCTGGACTTTCACTTGAATAAGAGGATTGGGGAGGTGCTTTATGCATTGAATAAGGGAAGTGATTCTGTGAATACGTTTCTCGAGCAGGTCACGTTTCAGGTTGTGCCTATGGTTATTGATTTGGGGGTTGCGGTGGGGTATTTTTTGATTGCGTTTGGCGTGTATTATGGGCTTGTTGTCGCTGTTGTGACGTTTTTCTATCTTTATGTTACGGTGCGGATAGCGCAGTGGAGGGCTGAGATGCGAAGACAGCAGGTCAATACTCACAGACAAGAAAATGCCATCAAGTAACCCTCCCACCACCATTCAGCAAAACCATATGCTAACAGCAGCGCTACAGAAACGACTCCCTTTCCTCCTACGAAACAGTAAAACACTTTAACGCCGAACCCCTCGAGCACACTCGCTACCGCACTGCCGTCTCAACCTTCCAATCCGCCGAATACCACTCCCTCTACGCGCAATCCTTCATGACAGCAGCCCAAAACACAGTCTTTATCCTCGGCCTGCTACTCACCTGCTTCATCGCCGCGTACCAGGTCTCCATCGGGCAACGACCCGTGGGCCAATTTATGACGTTGCTTACATATATGGCGCAGCTGCAGACGCCGTTGAGTTACTTTGGGACGTTTTATCGGTATATTCAGACGGCGATGATTAACTCAGAGAGGTTGTTAGAGTTGTTGAGGGAGCGGGCGTCGGTTGTTGATAGGGTATCTGCTATACCCATGGATATTTGTCAGGGATGGATTACCTTTGATGAGGTTGGTTTTGCGTATGACGGGAGGAAACAGAAGAACGCGTTGAACGAATTATCGTTCCACTGCGAACCAGGAACGACGACAGCACTAGTCGGTGAGTCTGGAGGCGGGAAATCGACTATCTTCCGCCTGCTCTTCCGCTTCTATAACCCCCAAAACGGCCGGATCCTAGTCGACAGCCGCGATGTCCAGGATATAACCATAAGTTCGCTCCGCGAGCACATCGCCATAGTCCCCCAGAACACAGCCCTCTTCAACGAATCCCTTCTCTACAATTTGCGCTACGCAAACCCCTGCGCCACGGACGAGGACATTCACAATGCCTGTCGCGCAGCGTGCATTCACGATAAAATCATGACTTTCCCAGAAGCCTACGAGACGAAAGTCGGGGATCGGGGACTGCGGCTCAGTGGTGGGGAGAAGCAGCGGGTTGCGATTGCGCAGACGATTTTGAAGAATCCGCAGATTATTCTGTTGGATGAGGCAACCGCTGCGTTGGATAGTGAGACGGAGGGACATGTGCAAGAGGCGTTGGGGAACCTGGCGAGGGGGAGAACGGTAATTATGATTGCGCATCGGCTGAGCACTGTTACCGAGGCAGATCAGATTTTGGTACTGCATGAGGGGAGGGTTGTAGAGAGGGGAAGACATCAGGAATTACTAGAGATGAAAGGAAGGTATATGGGGATGTGGCGGAGGCAGAGTCAGAGTCAGAGTGCTGGAGGGGAGTTGCGGAAACGTAGTCCACAGCAGGTGTTGCTCTAGCTTAAGCTTAAGTATGCCGCGACATGAGATTGTACATAAGTCATTTGAACCGCATTGCGAGGTAGCATTTTGTTCTATCAAAACTCCTATTCTTCATAACCATAACCCATAATGCATATACAAATCACTTTACTCATCATCACTCTCTTCCTCCTCTTCATCACTATCCTCCTCCTCGGCATTGGCAAGCCAATCCACAAACTGTTGCGTCTGAGCCCTAACCTTCCGCATATCCTCCGTCCCACTAGACCGCTCATCATCCCACCACTGCTCATACGCCTCCTCCTCAATCAGCTCGAGATCATACAGCTCCTTGGCCGTAAACAGAAGAACCGTATCGCCCTTTGGCCAGGTAACAAGATCCTGTTGGAGTAGGACTAGTAGGTCTACCTGATCCGGCTTCGCAGCGGTCTCGCGGTCGAACAGGGACCGCTCCACGATCTCGCGGTATGTGCCAAAGATGTCACGGACGGCCTGCGATGCGGACTTCTGGCTCTCGTCCATGAGATTCCCGATGCGTTTCATGAAGGCGGAGACCACCGCACGGCGGACTTGGTTGTCGGATGCGTTAGCAGTCATGCGTAGGGAGACAAGCTCGAGTTGCACGACGTCTGAGGTGACCTCGTCGCGGAGACTGTCGTAGACGCTGACAGCAGCGTCTTGGACGAAGTGGTCTTCTTTTTCTTCTTCGGAGACGGAGGTGCCGTAGCTTCCTGCGCGGGAGCCAGCGAAGTCAGAGGTTTCGGAGGAGAGCGTTGAAATGGATTCGGTGGAGAGGGAGAGGTTGGCCATGTTGTAGACTAAGCCGGAGGAAGTTTCACTTGCATCATCCTCTTCGTCGTCCGAGTCTTCGTCGCGGGTAAATTCATAGCCCTCGCCTCCTGCACCGACGACCGCCGGATCGCTCTCAGGTGCAGCTTCATCATCCTCCTTTGGAGACTTGGTTATACGAATTCCTTCGCCAATGGTGATCCCATCGGCAATCTTAACACCATACGAGAGAAGCGCTCCCGACTCGACCTTGCACTGGTTACCCACCACAGCACCATCAGCAACAATAGCCTGGTTAACAATCGTGTTATCCCCAATTACAACATTTTCCCAGATATAAGCACCATCCAGAGTCACGTTCTTGCCGATCTTGCAGTTCCTCCCGAGCACCGTGTTCTTCACTGTCGTTTTCTCACCGATGCTGGTACCTTGTCCGATCACCACCCGACGACCAACGATGCATGACCGCGCCAATGTGACATTCTGTTCTTGGTATAGGTTGCTCTTGCGGAGTTCGTAGGTGTGCCCGGGAAGCAGGTTCGTGTCTGGGCAGAGAGGATACGTCCATCTCGAAATGACATCCTTGCTGATCGCATCGTACGCCTTGAGATTCCGCGCTCTTGCCGCGTAGTGGTCCTTGATGATGTACGTGTGGATCGTCTTCCCATTCAACTCGTAGTCCTTCAGCACACCGAACAAAAATTGCTTCCGCGGGGCCTGGTAGTCGAAACTGTCGGACCACAAACTCAGAACGTCGGGCGTGCAAATGTCGATGCTGCAGTCAATCAAATCCTGACGGATATCAATCTCCGAATGCTCAGCAATAATCTCAGTATCAATGTTCAACCGCGCTCCATGCTCCGAGTGCTCCGCGTGGTGGTCGATCTCTTCGTAATGCAGACAACGGTCCTTGGTCGGGTCGACGACAAATACTGGCGAAACGGACGAGGACTTGGTTCGGTGGTTCCGGCCAGCTTCACGCAGCACCATGGTCATAATCGCGTTCTTATCGGCTTCGCGGCGGGCTCGGTGCGTAGCCAGGGCTCCTTCGATCGGCATGTTGCTGATGACATCTCCACTCAAGACGATGAAGTCTCCCGTAATGACATGTTTCCCGTCCAGATCGCGCATAACATCTCCGACAGATGTGGAGGTGGATTTGAGAAAGGTCAATTGCTTGAACGGCGACGAGGATGCTCTCCATTTTGATGCGCTGGTGCCACACGTTAGCTTGGTCACATCCACGCCTTTATTCCTTCCATCACATACTTGATGTATTTCTCTAGCTGATCCGAGTGAGCACCTCCATAAAGAAACACCTCCTCGACGCCCGCATTGGCAAGGAATTCGAACGTATACTCGATCAACGGCGTGTTGGCCAACGGCAGTAAACACTATATTCGTTCACTCGCATTAGCATCAACCCTCACTTGACCATAGAAGAGGAAAGAGAACTCACCCTAGGCTTATCGAGAGTAAATGGCTCGAACCTCGTCTCAAATGTATCTGCCAGGACCTAAACCAGTCAGTGCCCCAGCCCCGCGCGTTGTGTCCGTCGATCTGCGATATCGAAATCCGGGGTTCAGGGACGAACATACAACGGCCTGAAGTGTCTCCTCGACTTCCTCTGCAGCATTCCGCTGCTTCGGTGCACCACCGCCTTTCTTGGGGGCCATGGCTACTAACAATCATAAGTTAACAACCAGTCTCCGTGTGATCGGAGAACGCACAATGCGGGGGTATCGCACTTACCTCTGTCCGTACAGTCGCGGGGTCAAAGGTAGAAAAATTTCGTGAATAGGACACAGTAATCCAACTCTCTCACAGGTTCCTCGTTGATTCAATCGCGACGCTCTCATAAAAAATTCCGCCAAGCCATCGGAGTCAATCTCCATCCCACTTTGATTCTGCCCAGCGGTGAATATGTTTTTCATGTTTATCTTTTTTGCGCTGTTTGCAAAATCTAGTCACGTGAAAATCACAGTGGCGTAGTACAGCCCCCAAAAATCCAGACCCTCGAGCCGACCCTGGACAAGGCCTAGACCCGTGGGGAATGCAGGCGTGTGTATTTTTGTTTTCTTTCAAGGGTTTATTTTGACGAATCTGTCCCGGCGATGCGGGCTGCCGCTCATGTGGAGCCTTGCTGGACTTATTGATAGTAACACAATAGTAGATGCAACCAATTTGTTCATCGAATGCAGATAGATACATTGGAAGGGGGGAGAAAAAAAAAAAAAAACCAAAAATCACACGCCACCAATCCCAATTCTTGTACACCAAAAGCCAAACGCTTCCCCATAGGGAGTATATAAAAATGGAAACATCTCACGCTGCCAGTCCTCAAAGTCTCGATCCAGAGCTCCGCAGAACGCCCCATGTAGTCTATAAGTCACAAAGAATGAAAAAGAGAAAGCCTCCCGGATAACAATGTAAGAATATTCGTGGTAGAAATGAATCGTAGTCCGGCGACGGTATGAACGAATCGAATCTTAAGCAAATTTGTACGCGAGGTGTATATGTGCAGTTAGAAGTGGAATAGAAATATCGCGTCAGGCGTTCATAGAGAAAGTAGACTAGCCCGTCCGTGCTTGCACCGGGTTAACCATCGTCTGTGCAGGCTGAGCATACATGCGCGGTCGCTTCGTCACGTTGGGGTTATCTGGAGCGCTGGACATCTCAGATACTTGTCGCCGGTGCGGTGGCCGTACTGCCGGTTGTGGTGCTGCTGCTCCGGCCGGGGCGAGTGCCACTGTCGGTGCTGGATACTGCACACCATTCTGATCGACTGCGTACGCGACCGGAGCACCCGGGGTGGCAGCAGCATATTGACCTTGTACATGCGGAATACTGGGGTGAACCGCCATGCCGTGGAATTGGCCTGGCGACTGCCAGTTGCTCATCGACGCGGCTGGCGACTGACCGGGCGAACTATCCTCCTTGACTGATTGAGCAGCAGAGCCTTGTGCAGCCATTGGGACCGCAGGTGCAGGTTGTGGAGCTTCCATGCCCGGCGGGATAGTCTTGAGGTGGACAAGGTGCTTTTCAAGCATGTCGAGCAGGCTCTTGCGGGTAAACGGTTTGGGAAGCACGTCATCCATTCCTAATTGAATTAGCAGCCGCATAAAGGCAGGCATCAGTAACAAAGCGCACTTACCATGCTGGAAGTAAAGCTGAATATCATCACTCCGAATGTTGGATGTCATGGCGATAATAGGAGTCCGATCGAATTGACGAATTAGGTGGCAGGCTGAGACACCGTCCAGATTGGGCATGATGATATCCATGAGAATTAGATCGTATTTCGAGCCATCTTGAATTTTGTTCACAGCCTCGAGACCATCAAACTGCAGTGGATCAGTGGACGTTCCATACTAACAAGGAGACAAAACATACCGCAGTATCAATGACACAAGAAAACGAATACAAAAATTTACCACCAATTTGACGGCACGTTGCGTCGTCCTCGACGAGTAGAATGTGCGGGCTGCGCATCCAGCCCGGATCAACGTTGGTGCTCTTCTTTCGATTATCGGGGAACTGCCGGCGAGCATCTCCGGACTCGATCTCCGCCTTTGGTGGCATCGGATACGGCACATTGTTGACATGCTCACTGTACATGGGATCAATGCCATTGGTTGCGCCAACAGGGTACACCACGGTATCCATCTCGCCGTTCATCTTGGGCGTTGTGGTGGGATAAACCAGGGTCGCAGGATTTCCAGCCGTTGGCGCACGCACCATTCCGTTGGTCGGCGTTGATACCACAGTAGTCGGTTTGGCTTCCCCTAGTTGATCAACGCCAGTGAGGTTGAACTGCATTTCGGAGTGCATATCGTTGAGCAGCTTCGAGGCCTGCTGAAGCGGCGATGATGGCTCATCGTCCATCGGGGTGACCTGAGACGGACTCAGAGTTGAGCCAGCTTGCCCTTGGGCTGGGAAGGGGGCGGCCGTCTTGCTGTCACGTCTCTGCCGAGCGTCGACGGACAGAAGATAGGTCATCAATTGGTGGATGACATTCTCATGGTTGAGGACGGTCTTTTGCACGCGCATCACCTCCTGCAGCATGAGCTGATGGTCGACGGTGAGTTGAGCATAGCGGTCGGACAGGTGTTGGATCTGCTGCTGTTGGGCCACGATTTGTTGGTTCAAGAGATCGATTTGCTGTGTCGGGACGGAGTCATCATGGTCGCGGGCCTGTTTACGGGGCGCCGGCGCTTTCCGTCGAATATTGTCCAGCGATTCCTTGCTGTTGGCCCGAAACTCGGGGTGCTTGAACTCCCAAGCCTATACACTATTAGAATACTGTACGTCCAGTAAGGAATAGATGTCGCCTACGTTGGGGCCGTATGGTGATTGCCCATTCTCCTCGTTATTCTGTCGGACTTTGTGGAAATCGTACTTGTTCAGCTGGCGGACGAAACTGGCAAAGTTGCTGTGTTTGAAGTGTCTGGGCAGGATAGTTTTGGTAAATTTTTCGCACTAGAGCAGGTCTCCCAGTCAGTCTAGGTTCTTGACAGTGGATCGAACGGGGCGAAGTGGGCGCGAATTATTTACCTCCAAGACGACGAAGCTGTCCCCCTCATCACCCCAACGAACTATCTCCGAATATGACGGGTCCTCGAGCATTCTTGAAACGAGTCAGAACACGAACTATTGATGTGATCCATGGTCGCGCGGCAGTGTTGGGCCGAAAGCGCCAGCAGTCGAGGAAAGGCAGCCAAAAAAAAAAAAAAAAAAAAAAAAAAAAGACAAAAGGATGGCGAAAAAAGCAGCGGGGTGGAAAGAGAACTCACTTGTATAGTTTTCGCACCTACCATTGTCAGTATGATTGAGATATAGTAAAAAATATGAGGATAATAGAGACGTACAAAATCACTGGAGTTGCCCGAGGGCCCGGAGTTGGACGAGGTCGAGGTCTGGCCACCCTCCATCGTGGGCTAGACGGGTCGCGACCGATCGAAAAGCAGCAGGGAGGATTATCACAGTGAGTGACGGGCAATAACAAGATACAAGAGAGAGAAAAGATATTAAAAAAAAAAAAAAAAAAAAAAAAAAAAAAAAAAAAAAAAAAAAAAAAAAAAAAAAAAAAGGGAAGAAAGAAGAGAAAGAAAGAAAAGAAAAAATAAAACGAGAGAAGAAAGAAAAGAACCTAAAGAAGAGAAGAGAACAGAAGGGTGAGTTGGAAGAGAAAAGAGGGAAGAAGAGGAGGAGAGGAGAAAAGAGTGGTCAGTGGGACGGGGCCCAGTAGGAATTCCGCAGTGACCCCGGAATACTAGGGACTATCACCACTAGAGCTGTTATATATAGTTGAATTTGTTATATTTAGGAATTGAATAGTAGAATGCACATAAAAAGATTTGGACAGATTCAGGTGAACTTGCTTGTTCCGGGGGTTGTTCATATCATATATGAACTACTACTGATTGACAGCACTCACCTCACTGCGATGTACTTGTCTGCAGACCAATGAGGAGAATCCGGCATCTGATTGGAAGCTCTGCAGTGATTGACATTGGTCTAAAATCCCCATGTCCATTGTGTTGTTCTACATACAAGTGTTGCATACGGAGTCCTCATTCGGACACTCGCTATTGTTGCTGTTCTACTTTTACCACCCGATATATATTTGTATCCCTGGTACTCTGTACTCCGCATACAATTTTTGAACCACTATATAGTACATTCACATGTTGATGGCTGTGATATACAACCTGCAGTCATGCAATGCATATCCAAACAGCTGTCAACCCCTCATCCCCGCTGTGAGCAACAACATTCAACGTAGATTAGGATACAATAATTACAAAATAGAAAACATCTTGAGCTAGAGCCCATGTGTTTATTATAGAAGAGGAACAAAGAAAAAGAAAAGCGAAAAAGAAAGGAAGAACAAAACAAAAGAGGACCCAGGGTAAATATCCGAGTAAGTCCGAGGCGCTTACTCCCGCCAATCATACGGAGTTCACTACCTACAACTATCAAAACGAGCATCATAATTCACTTCTACAGAAATACACTATATAGGACTTCGCTAGGTATGCCACCCAGTCTCCATACGGCCAGGTTCAGGGACGGACTCTAATCTCGAGAACAACTTGGGCCATATATATCGGTGTCATGGAAAGCTCAACTTGCCTATGCTTCTTCTAATACAGATAGAATCTGCTCTATTATAGGAAATCACTTTCGCCTGAACTTCCGTAAAAAGTTCACCATGCGACCTCGATCCGATTTGCGGGTCACTTCCACCTTAATTGCATACATTGTAGGAGCATAATATATAGCCTCTAGCTGTAAATGCTGGAGAGACTGTTCTATGTGCCCAAGAGCAAGCTTGTGATGATCTCGCTGAAGATGTGAGGCGGTGCAGATTGATTCGACTCCACGGATATGATAGTCGTTAGATATAGTGCGAGGCGAGGATTTGTCGGGATTTTGTAGGGGACTAGACATGTCTTTCTCAGATTGCCAAGTTATCGTCCTGTGAATGCCTAGTTTGAAGACACAGGATTGAAAGGGGCATAATGTTGACCTACCACCATTGTAATTGTGCCTACAATCCCATGTCCTGTACGAAATAATTGCGAAGTTAACCCTCAACCCGTGCACATGAAGCTTGAGCGTGAATTAACAGATGGCATTCTCTCGAACCTAACCCATAATGCTTGGGGGATAACTCGATCGCTAGGTTTCTTTCTAAGCAAAGAGCCTCCCATAGCGTTCGAGATACGGACAAGCCTTCATAGCGTTGTCCTTCTTTGGCTTTGGTCATAGTCAACAGATGTGGATTTTGAGCGGCATAAAACCCACCTAGAATGGAGACGGTATCTTTAATAATAGTATATTTGCGAATGGAGGTTAGCGTATTGATAAGAAAGCCGTAAGACGGGAGACAGTCCAACGGCAAATGAAAAAGCACGCTCATAGTGGTGAGAGCGGCTTAATACTAAATTCCGGGGCAGTATTCGGGTAGCAGTCCGGTGAATTCGAACAAGAACTGAGTCTATCCAAAATGTGGATGGCGAGAGGCACTGGACCCCTTCCGACCTACAGGCTGTGTATGGCCTTGAGCCAATGCACTAGAAACTCTCGTCAGGATAAGACGGGCCTTCGCGAGGCAAACAATACATACTTTGATATGTTTCTGCGGCAGCACTCACACCGGTGGCTAATGCGCCGTCTATCTTGTGGACCGCACGGTATGTTTCTCAGTGAAGGAGGGGTTACATGGCCAGGTCATCATCAGGGGAAACTCAATAAATGGAACCGATATTCTGTGATACTCTGAGGATTTTTGCACGGAGAGAGGAGATCGCGCAATCATGCTACTACGGCATCATGTCTCTGGGATATGAACCCAGGCCTTCAGAGATCATATCTACCTCGGTCGCTGTCCAGAACAACACAGAATTCAAGGAATGGCAAGACCTTATGACGCCAGCCAATGGGGCAAAGACTGAGAAGCCTATCCAGATAGTTCAGTGGTTGAATGGCAAGGCTGTGTTACCTCGGATCACAATTGATTCCTATAACGACACCTGCAATCATGGCAACGAAGCTCACTCGAGGCTGTATGCTGCCATGGACCATACGGATGTGTTGATGGCAAGTTTTGTGAAATGGATGGCGTTTATTCGCGATCGGTTCGATAATAAGAGTACCAATAAAGAATGCAGCAACATTACCCTAATGCTGTTCGACGAGGTGCATTTGGTGATTGAAGCTGAGGCTGATGAAATTGCGAGTCTCTTTGAGTGGTCTCATCGTTTCGCATTTGGCCAGAAGCTTTATATTGAAGAAGTAGAGTGTAATGTTCTTGTCATTATTTAGCTGTATGTTTTCTTCCATGAATCAGAAGCATAGGAAATTGATATCGAACATTTTCTAGAATAATTTTATGCGTATCCCTAGTGGCAGATGTATAAATGTTGTGATTGTGCCATATGAAGTAGTAATCGCTCGGCTATGACGAAATCAGCCAGGACCCAATATAAGCGGAATACATCCTTTGTCTTCTTCAACCTACCACCTCAATCACTCTATAAATCCCAGCTAGTTCCTCAATTCACCTCAAATTCCACACAAAATGTTCGCCACTCGCCGTGTCGCTACCTCCCTTCCCCGCGCCTTCTCTCAGCGCGCCCTCTTCCACAACACCGCTCCGGCTTTCGTCCAGAAGGGCGACTCCATTCCGGACCTCGACGTCCTGGTCGAAAACTCCCCAGGGAACAAGGTCAACCTTGCCAAGGAAATCAAGGGCAAGGGTGTTATCATTGGCACCCCTGCTGCTTTTAGTACGTCGCTCCGGTTATCTCCCATACCGTGAAGAGTGCGACTGACAGAATAGGCCCGGCTTGCTCGAGCACCCACGTTCCTGGCTATATCAACCACCCCAAGCTTAAAGAAGCTGGTCAGGTTTTCGTCCTCTCCGTCAATGATCCTTTCGTGTATGACAACCCCGCCCGACTTCAATTGAATGATATCAACCTTACTGACCGTAACAGAACCAAGGCTTGGGGAACCTCTCTCGACCCCACCGGCAAGAGCGGCGTATGTCAACTCTTTCTCCATAAAGATAATAAAAAAAAAATCGATAGCTAACTCTGACTAGATCCGCTTCCTTGGTGACCCCACTGGTAAATTCTCTGAGGCCCTCGACGTGACTTTCGACAGCACCTCGGTCTTTGGCAACCAGCGCAGCAAGCGTTATGCTCTTACTGTGGAGAACGGTAAGGTCACTGGGGCTTTTATTGAGCCGGACAACACTGGCGTCAACGGTATGCACATCTCAGATAACCTAGTTTTGAAAATTGCTAATATAAATCAGTCTCCACGGCCGAGAAGGTCCTTGGATAAACGCTTTAGTATAGATTAAATGTACATTCACGTCTTGTAAATGACCGTCTATAACAGTGTAATTATTCATTCAATCATATTCGACAACCATGATCCTGTTGCCAACATTATCCGTACAATATACATTTTTATTCCTCCAACGCCTAACAATGGCATTTATGCAATCCGTCCATACCCAATTCCAACGTTATTGTCAGATCACTGCTGCATCAACGACTGCCACTGCTCCGGTGTGTAGCACTTTGGTGTCCAGGCATGAATAGCTGCAATCTCTTCCTTAAGCGCGGCGTTCACCAACCGATGCCGGGCGAGCATATTTTTGCTCTCAAACTGGGGGGAAACGATAATCGCCATGAATGCCTGACCGCAGCCACCTATCACTCGTCAGCATTTATCCTTTATGCTTTCGTCTCTCCTCTCTTTCATAGACATACCCGACAAATCTTCAATCTCTACATGCTGAGCCTGCAGCTTCTCAATCAACTTGCTGCGCACCAACTCCGCCGTAACTCCAGTACTCGAGTCTGCCATAGCCGCGTCGACGGCCGCGAAAGAGCGCGCGGAAAGCGAAAAGAACGATTTCTTGACCTGGGAGCTGTGGATGGGGGCGCGGAGAAGATAGCGGCAACTTCTGCGGAAAATGGTAGTGCTGCGGGAGAACATCAACGCGGTCTATTATTAAGAGAAAGAAAGAAAAGGGGAGAAAAGAAAAGATAAGGGTATGAAAAGTAAGGCAGTAAAGATGCTGTTATCGGATACCGAATTCCAATTGAGAGAATGACGGAATTAATCATCCAACGTCGGTCCGTTGCTTACCGTTCATATGCTGGTTTTTATTGGTGAATATGATCGTGGGGTATGTGGCTGGTGTTGTGGCTTTGAGTTCTACAACAATCGGCGTCATCTTTTCTTCCCCAGATATCAATCTTCTCTCTACGTGGTTTGTCTATTGATGCCTGTCCTGCGCACATTGCGTCGCTTATCCATCATGGCATCATCATCTCCCACTTACTGCTCGCCTTTTACACGGGCAGTAGTGAACTCCATGAGAAAACTGTAAGCCTCTTGTTGAAGCTTGAGCTTGACATTGACTGACAAGATGAGATAGCTATCCTGAAGTACTGGCGGATAAAAGCTGGGACAACACAGGCTGTACGCAAATCACATTCCCCCAATGGCACATCACATAAAATACTGACAGCAGCAGTACTCCTCGAAGCCCCCTTCAACCCCTCCCAACACCGCCCACGAAACTCCGTCCTCCTAGCCATCGACCTCACCAAAGCCGTCGCTGATGAAGCCATCAGCCGCAGAAACTCAGTGGTTGTGGCCTACCGTATGCCCCTCCCACCCATTACCACCCACCAAATATCAACCCGCTAACAGATCACTGGCAACGGCAGACCCAATCATCTTCCGCGGCCTCAAATCCCTCACCCTAGATGACCCCCAACAAACCTCCCTCCTCCGTCTCGCCCAAGCAGGAATTAGCGTGTACTCCCCGCATACAGCCATCGACGCCGCACCAGGTGGAATGGGCGATTGGCTCTGCGATATCGTAACGGGATGCTTCATCTCGAAACCGCATGAATTGCCCCCGGCGCCGGCAGAGCAGAAACCGATCCCGCAGCTCTACACGCAACCGACATACCCCCAGCCTACGGGGATCACCCAAAGCCCGCCGCAACTGAAGCATACTCGCAAGACGATGCACCCTTCTCAGTTTGCACCTGAGGGTTGTGAAAATGCGGGTATGGGCCGTCTCGTTACGTTCTCTGAATCGCAGCCGTTGTCTACGATTATCGACCATATTGCCGCTGGAGTGGGTAACCCGGGTGGTATCCCTATCGCCATACCTCAGGGTTCAAGCGTTGAAGACATTCGCATCCGCACCGTTGGCGTCTGCCCGGGGTCCGGGTCTAGTGTGCTTATGAAGGGTGTGAGCGAGATCCCTGATTTAATGTTCACGGGAGAAATGAGCCATCATGAGGCGCTTGCGGCTATTGAGCAAGGGAAGGTTGTGGTTTCGTTGAGCCATTCGAATACGGAAAGGGGGTATTTGCATGCTGTTATGAAGGAGAAGTTGCAGAATGCTTTGCAGGGGGAGTGGGAAAGTGTCAGACAAGAGGGGCTTAAAACTAAGAAGTTGGAAATGTATGAGGATGGGGGGTGTGAGGTTGATGTTAGTAAAGCGGATCGAGATCCGTATGGGATTATGATTCGGCGTATATAACGAAGCCATGCTTATGATTGCTATAAATGTGCATTTACAATACCAATGGAAGAAAATTCTAGCTCAATAACACCCGAATCTCCCCTGTCGTCCTCGGGAACAGCGCCCTCATACTATACTTCTCCTTACCCTCCTCACCTTCACCTTCACTCTCACTTCCACTCCAATCACCACCCTGATTCACAAGTGAGATACCCCTCGCTTCATCCGCCCCGATAATCATCCCCTCCACAAACTCAAAGTCCCGACAAAACGCCTCCACAGCTTCCTCAGTAACACTCTTCACAAACCCCGCGCTTTGCACCCTCTTCAAATTGTCCGTGGCATCCATAAGCGCTGACGGTAGGAAATCGTCGAGTTGTTGGCTGGTTGCGATGAGGGAGTTGGGTTGGAAGGCGGAAAGTGTGACTATTGAAGCGAGATTGATGCTTGGTTGGCGTTGATGGGTCTTGGTTTGGGAAGTAGAGGTAGATGGGGAGTAGGGTTCCAGTGCTTCAAGAAGGACCTGAAGACCCGAGGAGGAGAGGAGATAGCTGTGTTGGATTTCGAGGAGATCGATGCGAATGGTTGAGATTGATGTTGAGAGGGGCTGGAGGTGTGTTGCGCTGGCAAAGGGGTAGGCGGAGATGGTTGTGCGGGTTGTTAGGAGGATGTTTGTTTTGTAAATAGTGCTTGCGGTTTTGTCCTGGAGGTCTTCCGCTGAGGATTGGGCGAGTTTGACGAATGGGTCGAGGGCGACGCGCAGTACGGGGGTGAATTGGTTCTCGCCGGGTGTTTCTGTGTCTTCCGCGAAGGAGACTTCGTGGGTTTTCATGAGGGAGGTTAGGCCTTCTAGGGCGTCAAGGAGGAATTGTGGCGCGGAGAGATCTTGCGAGGGGGTTAAGACGGAATGGTCGTTAGAGAGGGTTATTGTTTGTTCGCGCATGAGGGTTTCGAAGTGGCCGAAGGTGAATTTTTCCAGCGTCTGCATTAATTCCACCAGGTTGGAGTGTTGGCCCACTAGTCTGGAGAATGTCGTCCGGTAGAAGGACAGTAGGTTGACGACTTTGAAGCAAGTGACGGGATCGTCATGACCTTGGATGACCAGCTCAACACGCTGTCGTAGAGATCGAGAGACTCCGGTAAGGTTGCGGTTGACGAGGTCACTGAGGGCTTTGCGGCCATCGAATGCAACAGTCTCTTCATCCTCGTCGATTCTAGACCATGGCTCGCTGCTTAAGCCGGCTTGGATGCCCTTTGCGAGTTCCTCTTCGTCGGCCACGAACAGCGCCTCCAAAGCTTCACGCTCAGAGACTGCAGTCGAGTGCACCCATGCCAACATATCCCCAACGTATCGCATAGGATCATGTGCCGAGAATTCGATAGGTTTCACGCTGCGATCACCACCAGCACCAGAAACAGCATCGCTGAGCGCGTAGTGAAACGCTTCAGACAGAATGTAGTCTCGCGCCTCTGCGAAGAAGTCCAAGCAGCTGTGGAACAAAGTAGGCCGCTCAGCCAACACCCGTAGCGCTAGTCGGATCGAGTTGCTGATCCGAGGATCCTCAAGATTTAACGACCGGAATTCCTTCTGAATCCACACGTAGAGCTTTTGATAAGCCGAATTAAGATTACGGGAGCTCTTCTCCATGATCTCCAAGCCTAGTCTTTGGTTTTCCCCTCCAAGCAAAACCTCACAGTCATGGTGTACCTGCTTCACTCTGGCGAGCACGTCGAAGAAATGGTCGTCGATGGGTTCTTCGGCAGATGTCAATGCTAGCAAGTCCTCATTAGAGATTATAAAGTGCTGCGTAAATGCGCTGAGAAGCTCCTGCTTTGTCTCCGTCTCTTGTTTCTGGTTTATCAACGATGTTGCTTCATCCAGCACAGGGGCGGTATCTTGTTTCGCCAGGACGATGTGTTTCCGCATTTCATCACATGTTTGATTCAAGCTCATAATAACTGTTCCAATTCGTTTCAATTGCTGTAATTGTCAGCCAGCTGTTTATTCTCACGAAACCCAGACCTAACTCACCTCCGCGACCTTGCCAAAATCCTTAACAACCTCAGCATTGCAATCGACCACCTCCTTCTGCACGTCTAGCCGTAACTGTCTCCGTGTTTCTGCCGTGTTATGAACACCCCTGAGACTCAGTGTCTCCAGCGCATCGCGTATATCCGAGTCCGCGTAGGAAGCCGAAAGGACACTCGTCAGTCTGTTGGAGAGCGCATTGGATCGCTGCGCTGGCGGGGAGAGCGGTGAATTTGCCGGAGAGGAAGCTCGTGGAGACGCATGGCTGAAATTCGCGCCGGGTGGGAAGTAACTTGCCATGTTCGCGTTGTTGAGACCGAGACAGAGAAACGGTGGTTGACAGCTTGATGCTTCCGTGGAGAGAAAGCGGGACCGGATTAATCGCCCCGGTTTATTGATCGGATCAACAACATTCATGGCCTGAGAAACAACACTATTTGGACATATACTATAAACGACAAAGTAATAATAATACATTGAATACTTCAATTGGTATCTTCGCCCAACGGCATCTGAATCGTATCATGGACCCCCTCGTTTCTCCCGCCAAAGCACGACAAGCCGCCATCCAGGCTAAAGATTGGGCCTATGTGAACTCCTGGCTAAGCCGCCAATACGCACCGAAACCCGTTCCCTCATTTGAACGAAACGAAGATACCCTACGAACTCTACTCGCATTAGCCGCAGCCAACGATGTGGCCGACGAGGAAGCCACCCTAATCCATCGCGCACGGGAAGAGGCAGTACAAGGATTCAAAGTGCGAGAAGAGGCGGAAGACAAGCATAAATCAGAACTACTTGACGAGGTTGAAATGTGCCTGGATGATAAAGGGAGGCAAAATCTGGACGATCTGGCAGAGACAACCGTCGTGTTGGGGGCATTGAGCACGGAGACCACCGATCTCGGACAGTCAGTTATCGAGCTTACGAAGGAGGAATTCGATACTCGCGAGCAAATCTCGAAGGTGGGTGCTTTACAGAAATATTTGGAAAAGGAACTTGTTGCGCTGCAAGAGCAGCTGGAGACGCTCAACTCTGATGAAACCCACGATACGTCCTCGGAATTGCCAGCGTTGACGGCAGAATGGACCAAGAATACGAAGCTACTCACAGCGAAAGTGGGAGAATATCGGGACAAAATCGCGTCACTTGAGAGGAATAAGCATAAAGGGGTTACAATCGAGGGGTTGATTGCTGAAGAGAGGGATGTGCTTCAAATCAAGGAAACGGTCGAGACCTTGGAAAACCGGGTCCGGATGTTCCTTGATTTGTCCGGGGATATACCAAGTGCTCGAGCCCAGTATCGACAAATAGAACACGAACTGGAACAACTCATCCAACAACGGGATTCAATGCTCGAGCAAAGAGAATAACACTACTACGTGATGCGGCTGAACATGAACAGTGATCAGTACGAATTATTCATTCATTATTAAAACACGACAATGGTATCGTCAACTCGTAAGAGTCATAGGCCTAATTATACACATTCATAACCCATTCTCAATTGAGAGAAATTACTTGTTGCCGCCAAGTCCCAGGGTATCCTTGACCTTGTCGCCACTGCAACTGAGTTAGCATCTGTCTCGAGGTCGCGCACATCACAGCTAAACTTACATCGACTGACCGGCACCGCCGTGGTGTTCGTTGTCATGGACACGTTGGCCCTTGTCCCAAGCCTCCTGGGGGGCAGACTTGTCCTTGTCGGACTGGGCACCACGAGTGAAACGGTCAGTGGTATCGGTGACGGTCTCCTTGGCCTTGTCCTGGGTGGACTTGGCCGAGTCAGGAGTGATCTCCTCCTTAGCCTCTGCTCATTGTTAGTAGCTGTGTTTTAAGGGTCGTCGTGGGAAGAAACATACTAGTTGTGAAGTCCTTGCGGCCGTAGTCAGACATTATGATGGTTGGTTTGAGTATTATTGATCTTGAAAAGGTAGAATATATTGTTTTGTTCAGAGGTAGAAGATGTTGTTGATGGATTGGAAGATGCAAGGAGCGAACAAAAGCACCCTTATATACCTTCTGATTCTCCCCTTGAAGCCAAATATTGTACCATGACGTCGTAGAAAATTCCGGAGTAATGCTTCATTCGAAGCCTGAACAGGGAATTCCAAGGTAACAACACCATCGCGAACCAATGAAGATCATACTACATAGTGAATAGGTGAACCGTGGATGACGTTCGAGACCAAGTCCCAAATATACAGTGACGTCGTGATGGCGCGCAGAGCACGTGCAGTATTATGATATAACCGAGACTAGTCTGTAAGGGGTTAGTGTAATTAACTTGTCTAAATTTGGAAGTTGGTTCGGATTATTTGTTCTCACACCTCCGTTAAACTAATCTACTTTGGGACGGATTATTCAGACTCTGTATATAAGGCGGTGAACCACGGCAGAATAGAGACAGTTCACCGCCATCGAGTCATTATCTCCTTCTTTCTCCAACTCCAAGGTGTATGGCATCAAGTTTCTGCCTTCAGGTCTCTTCGACCACCATGTTGACTTGTTTTATCTCTTTGATTTATGCGAGTTCTTCACGATCATTTGTCTAGTTATCGGTTTTTCTCGTTATCTCTCGGTACCTCCCTTTTGTTTTTGTCTGCCCCGCATTCAGGAACAGAACGTCTTATCGCAGCCGCGATTTTCAATTTACAGCATTTGCCTTTTTGAGTTATATCATCATCATCAATGCCAGCATCGTTTGCATCCAACTGGGATTTCACTCCGGTGATTAACCTGCTTCGCTCCCCTGCTCACGCCGTCGGTGACTCGTCCATCCCGTCTCGCCACACCGAAGACTATGTCGCTTCACTTGCGGTCGAAGAATTGAAGGATGCCAACAATGACTCAGGCTGCTCGACACCCAAAGATACCAACAATTGGGATAATGCTACACCAAAACTCGGTGACTTCGGCTCTCTGTGGGATTTCTTAGGTCAAGGTACTGCCGTTGCTTCCGCAACCACCACAGCCGAAGATCGTCAAGATTCCGAGTCTTCGAGTACTACCCCACGTCCACGGTCCCCACAACCATCCACACCAATCAAGATCCTTCAGCGGCCATCACCTAAACCTGACAATCCTGAAGTTTCAATCAAAGATACCCCGGGCATTCCAAGACGGGTGCTCGTCCCTAAATCTCGCAGGAATAAGCGTGAAGTCGGTGTGGAATCCGGCTCAGCCAAAGAGCACAATACTCAGAAAGCCACGCTTGAGGCTACTTCGTCTGACAGTACTGCGGAGTCGGACGGCGTCTTTGATCCTCCGCTCTCGAAGAAAGGTGTTACGTCCTCCGCACAGCCTGCGAAATCAGAGCTATGCGATAGCCCACCGTCCTCTTTCGATGAACTCGATGGCGCCCTGACTTCTGAGACTATCAAAAAGTCGCCTGAGAGTGGTGCGATTCGTATACAGTCAAACGTATACAAATCAGCAGATGAGCGGAGAGATGGTCTCCATTCCAAGTTACTCAGAAAATTTCCAGACTACGCAGAAACCCGGCCAGTTCATGTTTTTGTTGACATCTCCAATGTAAGTTTCCCAGGCAACTACAACGTATCAAGCACAGTTACTGATGTGTCTCAAGATTATGGTCGGATTTCATGACTCAGTTAAAGTGTCACGGAACATACCCATAACAACCCGAATTCGCCGTCTACCGCTGTCGTTCAAGAATTTCTCATTGATTCTGGAGCGTGATCGGCCTGCAGCCAAGAGGGTCTTGGTAGGCTCAGACCGCTTTCCAGCGATCGACGAAGGAGAGAAACTCGGCTACGAAACAAACATTTTGGATCGCGTTCACAAAGCGAAACAAATAACACGCCGCCAGGTCAAGTCCAGAAAGAACGCGCGAACAACCTCCCAAGAAGCCGTCACCAGTTCTGAAACGAACGAGGCGGCCCAGCGATGGGTCGAGCAAGGTGTGGACGAAATTCTACACCTCAAGATCCTAGAGTCTCTCCTGGATACGGACGAACCGGCGACGATTGTCCTCGCCACGGGTGATGCGGCGGCAGCTGAATACTCGGGTGGCTTCATGAAGATGGTGGAGCGGGCTCTGCAGCGAGGCTGGGCCGTTGAACTGGTGAGCTTCTCGCAAGTGACAAGCCAGGCTTATCGGCGGAAGGAATTCCGGTCGAAATGGGGAAATCGGTTTAGGATGGTTGTGTTGGATGATTATATCGAGGAGCTTTTGGCGATGTGATGGTTTATTTTGATCTAGTTTGATCATTAGTTATCGGAGTACATAGATCAGGCAGGCCTTGACTATCAGATGCAAAGGCGGAAGATTTATCTTGTTCATGTCTATACAGGGCGCGAATTGTTCTTAGTTACCATACTGTTCACGTTTTATGTATCGCACAAGCAGGCCTTGCTACACCAATCTACATCTCACACATTGCGAATTCTTTTATGTCGAACATTGCTCGAAAGACTCAAGTATCATAACATTTATGCTAACCAATCAAGCAAGCCAAACCTGAACCAAAAACCAATACTCCCCACCAAAACAACCAAACCAGACCAGACCAAGTAAACGTAACGTAACGTACATAAAGCATCAAAACGTCAACGTCAACATCAACATCAACACAAATACATACAGTACAACCAGTCCACAATCTACTACCACAATCATACTTTTAACCACATCGCAACCACAATCCAAATAACAGATGATGAAAAAGTCAACCCCCTCTCTCCCCAAAATTCTTCGCCCATTCCTCATACGCCTTCAATCCCTCCTGACTAACACTCGGTCTAATAGCGTACAAACTCGCCTCGAAATCTGCGAACCGGATCGGCCGGATCTGGTCCATGGGCGTGTGCAGGAGGGCTTCGCCGAGGTTGCGCAGGGGGCCCATGGCGGCGTCTTTGGCGAGGGCTGTTATGTCGCTGCCGGAGAAGCCTATATTCATTTATTAGTATACGGTTTTGGGTGATGGGGAAAGATAAAAAGGGGGAATACCTTCTGTAACCTGGACGAGAACCTCGATATCATCATTGCCTAGTTCGTAGACTTGATGGCTGAGGAGTTTGCGTATCTGCTGTTCGCGCACGCCCTGCTCAGGAAGTGGGATATACTGTCTTCTCACGAACCGGCGTCGGGCAGCTTCATCGATATCCCAGGGCATATTCGTAGCAGCCAGGACAAGAACACGACTTGCGTCTCCGATTTTTTTATCCGCTTTCCCTTGTTCGCGCCCTGCAGCTGCACGTTGTAGATCGGACCATTGGATTAGGAATTCTGTCTTTGAGCGACGGGATGCTTCGTTTTCTGCTCCTGATGATCGCGCGGATAGTAAAGAGTCGATTTCGTCAACGAATATGATTGATGGGGCGAGGGCTTTTGCGAGGCCGAACAATGCACGGACGAGCTTTTCGCTTTCGCCGTGCCATTTGGATGTTAGTGTTGAGGCGGATACAGAGAAGAATGTTGACTTGGACTCCGTAGCTACAGCTCGTGCAAGCATTGTTTTACCCGTACCCGGTGGTCCGAATAAGAGCATGCCACGTGCTGGTTCGCGGAGACCAGAAAATAAATCTGGACGCAGGAATGGGTAGACGACGGCTTCTTTGAGGGCTTTCTTTGCGCCTTCGAGTCCTGCTATGTCGTCCCAGTGTACCTCATCGCCACGGACGACAATGTCGTTGAGAATCTGGCGAGCTGCCATAGTGTCGACGCCTTTGGGGAGTTTGCTCATGACATCCATGATCGCGTCATCTTCGTCTTCGTACTCGCCCTCATCGTCTTCTTCGTTGTCCTCGTCTGCATCTGTGGATCGAGGGCCGGGTGACTCGGCATCACTCGACGGTGGTGTCTCTCTTCGGACCTGCGGTTTCCTTCGAATCGCCGGATCTGAAATATCCATCCGGTCCATTGAACCAGACAGTCCTGCGTCTTTATTTTCAGTTGAAGTGGGTGTGATTCGAGTTCTCGATACGGGGTGGCCTGTGCGACTAGACCTGGGCGTTCCGGAACCAGACGCTGCGCCATTAAGCCTTGGTCGAACAGGAGCCTGCTGCGACGTCCTCAATTCAGCCGGTTTGGGTTTAACCGAAGGCTTTGGCGAGGAACGCGGCACAGACCCCGAGGAATACGACCGCTCGCGACTCGCAGAATAAGGACGCGCATTACCGGACCCGGCAGATGAGATAGTCACCGGAGTCTTCGCAGGGGCTCGTCGTATAGCTTGGTCAGACGTCCGCGGAGTGCTCGACTCGGTGTCATCAGCAAACGTCCTCCTCGTCGGCAACTCCTCCCCTGACGAATATCTCGAGTCCGATACGCTAATCCTCGACGATACTAGTGCCGCATCACTGGCTCCTCTGTCCGACGACGATGGTGACCGATAGTTACTATCCCACGCTAAGCCCGCAGCGGCCTGCGAGGCAGCCGGCCTCGAGTCCCGTTCCGGACTAGCTCTAGGACTACTGGCCTTCTTCTTGGCCTGTTTTTTGGGATCCTTCTTAGGATCCTTTTTGGGATTCCCTTTGCGCAATGTCGATAACATGGGCGGTATATTGTCCGGTGCTTTTCTTTCCGGGCTCGAGGTACGCGATTGCGACGGGGGCTTTGGCTTGTTCTTGGGTTTGCTAGAAGAGTTGGATAGGACCCGGGATGGCGGTGAGACTGCAGATGGTGTTGTGTTCGCGTGTCGGGGGCCGATCGACTCGGAACTGATCCTGGTTTGAGGCTGGGGCCGACCCGGTAATGCGGGGGGTTTGGATAGATCGGCGTAGTGAACGGCGGGGATGGTACCGTCACCAATCCAGCCGGGCGTGCGATTATGATTACTAGTAGTATTCGTGGGCGAAGTCGGACTTTTGGAGGAGAATTTCCCCTTTAGCGACGATAACCCGGTAGGACTTATAGGTTTGCTGTTGCCGTTGCCGTTGCCGGTACCGTTGCCGTTGGTTGCTGGATTGTTGCTGTCTTTTTGTGCTTCTTTCCTGCTTTCACGGAGGGCTTCGAGGAGATCAACGCGTTCTCGACATTGAGCCTCTAATTGACGGATGGAGTCTTGGAGGGCCTTTTCGGTTTCGGTTCGCGGGGTGTAGGTGGCAGACAGACGATAGGCATTATGATAATTGATAGTTTCGAGGGCGGAGCGCCAGGATCTCAGAGCCTCTGCTTCATTGTTCTAAACCATTGTCCAGGTTAGCCAAGGCGAAATGTGATTCCGTGTGGAAGTTAGAGGTCGGAGAGAGAGTGTGTGTGCGTGTGTATGTGTGTGTGGGAGTGACGGAGCCAGTGACGAAAGACGAGGACGAAAGGAAGGACGGAAAAGACAACTCACTTTGCCTTCGAAGTAAACGGCGGTTGAGCACGTGAGATAGCACTCATCGTAGGTCTTCTGTAGCGAAGAGGTGGTTTTGGCCATTGCGATTGAGCGAGCTGTGGTCGTTCTCAGCGAAGTTGGTTACCTCGGCACCCGCCCGCACCAGCCATAGATCGACAGATCCAGATAGGGCAGATAGTGATAATCCTTAACTGGAAGGGATTGATCGTGGCTAAACAGGAAAAACTCTTCAAACCGAGGATTGTTGAAGTCAATGAGAGGACAGAATGCGAATGGAGGTAGGAGGGGCGCTTGCGGCGTGACGTCGTTGGTCACCGCTGAGTCGCAGTCTTGGGCGAACCATACTATGTACATAGTGGTAGTACTCCGGCATACGTTTTCGGAAGACATACTTGGAAAGAGATACATATATAGAAGAGAGAATGGACTCTATGCTTAAAATACAAATGGCCTCCAAGAAATCAGCGTTCCAACGCCCGTTATCGGATTATACATTGCAACGAAATGTCAAAAATGCCCAAGATGAACATCAACAAATCACGCCCGGAGAACCCAGATCTCTAATAATCAATACATGGCCAGAATTATAATCATAAATCGGCTGCGGAGGACATCTTAAATCATATCCCTTTTGTCATGACCCGGCTCCCTCTGCCCCCTTCACATCGCTAGAGACAATCCGGGGTCTCGTTCTTCTGCTCATACCCGAGTTCAAGGAAAGGTAGATTTCGGAGGATGAGGGAGGTAGTCAGGGTGTAGGTAACGAAGAGCAGAAAACACAATGCGTCGAACTGATGCGATTGAGCCCACCAGCAACATTCCTCCATTTCTCTTTTTGTATATTCCCTTAACCTCCAGGATCATACCGTGTCTTCACGTAATGCCAACAGTGATGTCATTACTCTCAGTTTCCATTTTTGGCCGAGGTAAGACATGGTGGGTCACTTTTTTTTTTCACTTTTTTTTTGTGCTGACACCGTTGTCGCTCCGCCCAGATCCGTACCGGTACCAAGGATAAAAGAAGACATGTCGCAGATTCGTAGATTCATCGCAATCGGGTTCGTTGAGGGATGTTAGGGAGCATCCTTATACATTTTCCTGGCCCTTGAAGTACGCCTTGGCCATTTCATACGATGTCCTAAGAAATCGGTATTAGCACTATCACCATACCACGGACACGAAAGGAAATAAACTCACCAGCAAATCGCCGTACTGGGCATCGTAGAAATAATCCGCGGCCTCGCACCACGCAGGAACCCACCCCAGCCAAACTGTCGCTTAATAATAGACGCAGCATTAATCAACCCCTTGGCCGACCGTACCTCTTCGTTTTGTGCCAAGCCACGGGTCTGGAGGAGCGTCTTCACGACGTCCAGAGGGGTGGTGAGACCGGCCGCAAAAGCGCCGGCCAAACCACCGGCGATACAATGGGTGAAGGGGTCGTATTCCTGCGACGGGTTCATGACCTTGGAAAGCGACTCATATGCGACGAATTGGGTGGCGGTGAAGGGGACGGTCATGCAAAGGGTGGTAGGGTAGGAGACGTAGAAAGCCTGGAGACCTTCTGTGCGGTAGACAGACCGCGCACATTGGGCGAGGGTCTTGTGCACTGAGCCATGAACCTGCATGCGCTGCTTGATCACTGCGGGTTGTTAGATCGCGCGGTTGGATAGAGCGTATCGGCAATTATGGAATGCTCACCATCAAAAGGGTTCATCAATGCGTCACTGGCAATGGTCGCAGATGCACCACTCAGAGCAGCCGCCAGCGGATGATGCCCTTCGTCCACATTCCCACCTGCGAATTCCTTGACCAGCTCATATGTGCCAAAGTACACCGCGTGGGCCGGTCCAGCACCAACAATCACACTCGAAACACCCTTCCATAGTGTCCTCCAGCCCTCGATCCGGTAAATTGTCGAGACCGCATTTGTCAGACCGGTATAAAGGGCTCCTCCTGAAGGATGTATGATTTGCATGCGAGTCTAGCGAGATGATTAGCAATCATTTCCCCATTCACAAATAATGGATATCGTACCTTCAACAAATCCACCGGATACATAACAGCGTGTTCCTATCCCGCGCGTCAGCACTACCCAGTATTTCCAGCGCAATTGACCATATCCATACCGCTATCCCTGCAAAAGCACCGGCGAGCATATTCCGGCCGAGGCCGTAGTTCGAGGGGAGGGCTTCATAGCTGAATGCGACGTTAGCTTAGCTCAATTGTCACAGTAGACGATTCCTCGACAAGATATCAAGGCGTACAATGCAATTGGCGTTGTGCCAAAAAGAAACAAATTAGAGGGACAACTCAATGGAAACAAAACACAAAAAAGAAAACCGCGGGGAAATTCAATCGGGATATTCTGGGGGCCAGCTGGGGGACAGCAAGCACACAAGCAAGCAAAATGACATACTCGTATTCCTCCCCGGGAACCTGATCTGGGGCTGCCATGGAGAGCTATGAAAGCTCTGTAGCCGGGGACACTGAAGAAAAAAGGGAAAAAGGAAGGCGACCGGGAAGAGCGGAGAGGTGACGGCAACCGAACAGTGGCAGCAACAGGTGCCTGGATTCTTTATTCGGTGGTGGTTGCCAAAAGGGCAGGTTTTCAGGGAATTTTATGAGTGGAAAAAAAAGTTTCCCGGGCGGCGGGAGCGGAGATTCTCTTGAGGTTTCTTGCTGTTCCCTGTTAGAACCGAGTCCGAAGGCCGAGTAGGAGTCGGGGGCCGGGAGAGGAGAATATGAGAGTAATCAGAATATTATTGAGAAAGATTGAGTCGAGGGGAGAGGAGGGAAGCTGGGCTGAGAAGAGCTGAAGAAAAAAAAAAGTATGTGTGGTGAGGGGAGCCAAGTGGACGAGAAGTTGACCGATGATGATCCCCAGCGCCGCCAGTTGGTAGGTGATTTTATGCACGACTGCCAGTGACTTAAATTCCTCTTTAGTTCTTTCCTTTTTTTGTTCTTCTCGCTTATCTTTCTTCTAGAATATCATTGATACTCATCATATAAAATATTTGTTTTTTTCGGTGTTTTCCTGCTTATTCAGTTCTCTGTCCAGACCGAGGTTTCCGATGACGGAGAATTCCCCAGAGTGCACAACTTTATGCTCGTATGGGATCTTATACTGTAGCTCTACGGAGCACTGTCGTCGCTACAGATACAGGGTAAAGAGCCATTCGATTAATTGCTTGGCTCTGAAGCATATCTGGAGCAAAGAAAAAGAAAATAAAACACATACAAGACCCAGTACTACTGTTCTCTGTATGTACAGTCCGCATCTCCGAACAGCGGAGGAATCTCTTATCAGATCGGATGGCCGATGCTCACCACGACTACAAACAGTATCTCCGAATTATCCGAGCCATAAATTGGTCTATCTCATAAATCCATCATGTCCGATCCTCCAGCTCTTGCTTCATAGAATCGCTACTGACACAAGAGTAGAAACACATGGTGTACTGTATACACTCGGCACGGGGCAGACGCCCGACGCGAGACGCCGGTCTGTCCCAAACGGCTCATGGTCAAACAGGCCACGCGGATCTGCATACTCCCGTCTCGTGTAATCTGTAGGTAATGAAAAAGAGCTGTCAAATCAGTGAGATATAGTGCCACCAGCGCCCGCCAAAAGGAACCGAAAACAAACACAACCGCACAGCAATCAGTTATATCAGAAACAAAAGAAATAATAGTGGTAAAATGAGAAAATATGCTCGATCAATGAATACATTCAAGTCCAATTCGCGAATCGGGAAAACGGACAAGATTGATCCGAAATGCAAGAATCATATACGCTGAAAATGTCATTCACATCATGAGAAGAAAATCTTTTCCGCCTATAAGCGGGGGATATAAAGTAGGCCGATGGCAGGCGTTTATCACCATTCCACGTTGAAGGACCACTCGCCTAGGCATCGACATTCGTTAGTCCCAACCCACTACACTAACTAAAAGAAGGAAAGGGCATTACTCACCATCTTTCAGGTTTTCCGCGGTGTCACTTAACAGGATCACCCGGCGCTTGTTACAATACGCCGTCTTGTCCAAGATGTCCACCTTGAGATTCGCCAGCTCCGGCACCGGCTTCTCGAACATCTCACTCAGATTCTCCACTGCCAGTTCCAGGTCCTTCTGGTTGTCCTCGAAGATCTCCGTGAGGTTGTTCCGGGCAAGGTAATAGGCAAATGCGTAGGTCCACTTCAGTGTCTGTCGGCACTGTTGGAGAGCTTGCGACGCAGTATCGAGGAACTGCACTTCAATCCACGAGAGACCCGACTGCGACTGAAGACTGGTCATCTTTTTCTCGGTCTTCAGATACAGATCCCGATCCAGCTTCGCAGATTGCTCGTGGTTGGCGTATCGGTTATAATAGTGTAGATACCGTTCCAACGATGCGCGTGACCGGGCCTGCTCTGTGCGAGCCTCAGATCCAGACTTCTCTTCGAATCGGCTGCAGTTGTACCAACTCGTGCCGTGCTCTGACCAGAGACCCATGCACATCCAGCAAAATTCGTGTTTGCATTTGCGGCATGTCATATGATTGCAACCACCGTTCTTCTCGATAGTCGAGTAACATTTGGGGCACTCCTTGGTGTTGGCGGAGATCCAGTTGGCCGTTTCCGAATCATCTTCACATTTCTTGAGCCACTTCTTCACCAACGCACAAGGTGTTGGTTGGTGGTCGTTGAGCGTACAGCCAAAGCAGAAATTATGCTTGCACCCGCATTGCACGGTGGGCACGATACGGTTGAGTTCCCGTTGTCTGATCGGACAATCAACCGCATATTCGCAGTTCGGAGCCGGGCACCATCTGAGATTCTCCTTGTCGTCGACATAAGTCCGGGTCAGGAGCGTATGATACCTATCCTTGAGATCCTCTGTAACAAGCAAGCTCAAGCTCTTCGAATCCACAATCATATGGCAGCTATCTCCCGGACACTCGATCCTTGCTGCCTCCCCTTCTTCACGAATCTTCTGGCCCAAGTAATGTCGATAGCAATCCACGCAAAAGCGGTGCCCGCATCGCATCGCATACGTTTCCAGGTCATCTCCATCCTCGCAGCAAATGTCGCACATGAATCCCGATACCGCCTCCGTCTTTGCTGCATTATCGAAATTTGTCCCAAGACCCGCATCTTCCAGTGTCTTCTCAGGGCGGTCCATGTAAGATTCGATCACCTTCTCCCGATTCCATCGCCCATATCGCAATAGAATAGCGCACGACTCCGGTGGCAGGCCCAAGATCGACGAGACCTCGTTAATCTGTACATTCTGCTCCCGCTCGATGTCCCCCGGATCTAAGACCTTATGGTCTACTTCGTATGGCTTTTTCGTCTGCCCGATAATGTCCTTGTCTTGGGAAAATCCCACGTCGATATCATCACCGAAATCTAGGAAACGCAGCAACGTCAGTATGGGGGAAATATGACATATATAAGATATACGCTTGCAACATACCATCCATGCTTTCAATATCGCTTCCTTGGTCATCTAGGAAGTCCGCGTTCGAGGACGCATCGCTCATGAAATCATCGTCCGAATCCATGCTGGTGGTCGCAGGCGTAGCCAAATCGTACCCCTTCTTCTTATCCTTATCAGAAACCGGGATTTTCCTAACAGACGACGAGTCCGAGTCTGATTCTTTCTTAACCGGTTCGACTTTGCGGACCTTTGCGGAGCTGGGAGACGAGCGTCTGGAGGTGGCGTTTTGCGTACCGACGGCGACGGGAGGCTCGGTGGCGGCGGTGGTGTTGTTCGCCGCCTCGGCCGCCTTCCTCTTTCTCGTTAGAGGAGGCGTGGTGAAAAGCGTGTAGTGGTAAGCTGAGATGTGCTGTAAGAGTAAGGAAAAGAAGAAATTAGCCTCGAGGTAATAGACCGTCGAGACTGTTTCTCTTCTCCCTTTTCTCCTGATCAACACACGTCACAGCCTACCAAAGGGGGTTTCCCGGGTAAAAGATAAAAGAAGGTAAAAGCAACAGAGCTGAATAGAGAAATAAAAAATAATCCCCAGCCAACTGTTGCGAACGAGGTTGTTGGGAGTCAGAGAGGGACGTTGAAGAGCGAGGATCGAAAAGCGATGAGCAAAGGGCGGGACGTCACGGGAGCGGGGACTTAGAAGTCTTGGTCTATAAGGAACTCGGATAACGATTGAGCCTCACGGTAAGTACCCTTAATAGATCGTATTATCGCCACTTGGTGTTGGTCGATTGGCAAACCACGCCTGTTGTCTCCTGAGGATAGACTCCGCTGTGGGTGTGTGGAGAGAAAGAGAGAAAAGAAATAGTGCAGTAAAAGATGCCAGTGATTAAATAGTGGTTCTTTAAAAAAACGCCTAGTAGGCCGCAGGAAATGCCTATTGTATCTTCTGGCAGCAGATGAGCAATCATTTCCAATCAGCCCATGTCACGTGTGATCAGTCAGCTGACACTACTGCAGCTCAGCAACTGTTAGATCCATATCGATGATGGGGGTTGACCTATCCTAGAGTCTAATGTTGATGTACATGGAAAGAAGTCTATTTATTCTTATTAAGAACCTCTATTAACATAAAACAGAAAAAAATATCACAGAAGAGCAATCCCAGTAAACGCCCTCGAATCCTCAAGATACAACCTCTCCTTACCCTTCCCCTCCAAATCACACCGATAAACACTACCTCCCAAATCGGTCAAATAAATATGCCCCCGCTCAACATCCAACTTCAAACCAATAGCCTCATTCAAGTTCCTTGTAAGAATCTCATATTTCCTCTCCTGCACCTCCGCAGTAAATGAAGCAGAAGCTGTCATGGTTGTCGTTGGCATGCCCGACTCATCCAACCGGGCCCGGTTCAGCGAGTTTCCAAACGGCACTTCACCACGATCAGTCCAGTATAATGTACTAGAGGCCTCGTTGAATTCGAGATCAATGGGTTCCGGCAGGCCTGGTAGAACGACTTGGATATCATCACGCGAAGTTGCTGACTGGCCAGCAGGCATATCGATGTTGGCGGAGAAGATGCGCCCCTGTCCGGATTTCGAGTATCCCTTTTGCGTCCAGAAGAATTTGCCCAGCGACGGCGCAACGGTGATTCCAACGCACCATGAAGACACATCAGGTGGCGTGGTAGGTTTACCATTCAGAATCAAAGCCTCGAGTTCAGATCCGTCAAAGTTACACCGGTACACACCCAGACCCTCACGGTCACAGAAGTAGACCTTCTTCGCGGTCTCGTCCAAGGTCAACTGCTTCGGTGTGTTCACTTTCCCAGGTGCCACGATGGTCTGCACATCAGTACCATCCAGGGCGGACGAGTAAACCGCTCCGTCCCATTTCCCGGGAAAGCCCATGCAGGTCCAGAACATGCGTTGCCTGGCAGAGTCGACAGCGATGCCATCCGGGAGGACTTGGCTGGGGACTAGGACTCGTAGTTGCTTGGTGGTGTCGTTTGGATTGAACTCGAGAACTTGGCCTGCTTGGAGGAGGGGTGGTTCGGCTGAGAGACCAACGTCGAGGACGAGAATTCGGGGGTAGTCGGTCATGTTGATGATCTTCAGAAATTGGGTTTGGTATGACGATATTTGGGTGTATAGTTTAGATTGTAGCTAAGAGAGTCAAAACAGAAGAGGAACTTCACCAACTTATATACAACCCTAGATCTAGTAACCCAGTATGACAGCAGTGCGTACACCGTAGATCATAAATCACAACATCGGCCAGCAATCAATAACCAAGCAAGTAGATCCGGAAGTCCCTAAAGCAAGAAACCTCGGAAGGCAAGCGGATAGCCCTGCGGAATTGCGGGAGTATCTCGGATTCGAGTCGGTGGGCCAAACGCCTCCGAGTCAGGACGGGAAGCCGATTAGCCGGTGGGTTTGATGCAATCAGATCAGGTTAACTTGGGACTTTGTGAGTATTGTATGGTACATATCAAACATTGAACCTCGCAGTCTTCTTCGTGTATAGTTTATCCATAATAGCGTAGTTAGTGCTCACATTATGCAGTAAGTATGCTTAGTGAAGTGACCCGAGTGCCTGGTACTAGGGCTTCTTTGGACGTTCCAGAAACATTCCTGAGTGGATCCGGTGGGGCGTTACTTGTAATTAACATACGTCATGTATTTCCGACCTTGGAGCGGAACTTCGCTTCCTCGGATAACATGCGGAGCGCTACTGATGCCTTATTCCGTCGTATTGTTCTAGAAGAGTAACCCTGCTCTATAAACAGCTGGGATCCCGGTATCTGATAGCCTGTTAACTTTCATTGTATCACACAACGGAACATGGCTGCTACCATAAAAACAATCGGCATTGTCGGCACCGGTGTCATCGGCGCCAGTTGGACAGCCCTATTCTTGTCCAAAGGATACAAGGTTATCGTGACAGACCCTGCTCCCGGTGCAGAGGAAAAGATTCATGCCTATCTACAGAAAGAATGGCCGACATTGTCCCAAATCGGACTCGTACCCGGGGCATCATTGGAAAACTACCAATTCGTCAAGAACATTGACGAGTACCTCGGAGAGGTAGATTACATTCAAGAGGTTGGTCTCTATGCCCCTTGTTAACGTGAAGAATATTATGTCAACATGCGCAGAATGGCCCCGAGCGCCTAAACATCAAACGCCCCCTCATCGCCCACCTCGACGCCAACACCCGGCCAGACATCACCATCGCATCCTCATCATCTGGCCTTCCCTCCTCGCAATTCGTCACAGATTGCACTAAGAACCCATCTCGCATTCTCATCGGCCATCCGTTCAATCCACCACACCTTATTCCCCTTGTCGAGGTGGTTCCCCACCCGGGTACAAATGCGGAGACGGTCTCGGCCGCGATGAACTTCTACAAAGGACTGGGTAAGGATCCTGTGCTTGTGAAGCAGGAGACCCCAGGATTTATCGCCAATCGCCTTCAAGCGGCTGTCTGTAATGAGGCTTATAGTCTTGTTGAGAGGGGTGTTATTTCTGCCGAGGATCTGGGTAAGTCCTCCCCCATCTCCCCTAAGACTTCAATGGACTAACGAGGCAGACAAAACAATGACATCCGGCCTCGGTCTCCGCTGGGCAGTGAACGGTCCCTTGATGACGAATGTCCTCGGTGGTGGTCGAAGTTTCCGACACTTCATTGACCAACTCGGGCCTGCAGTGAAGTCTTGGGGTGATGATATGAAGCAGTATGATTTCGGGCATGAGCCGGAGAAGAAGGAGAAGGTGACTGAGAGGGTTGAAGAGTATGTTGGGGGTGTTGATTTGGACGAGGTTGAGAGAGGGAGAGATGAGTTTATTCTTAATTCTATCCAGTTTAAGGCTAGAGGTAACTAGATAGCTTTGACACCATTTATTTGTTCGTTCATTGATGAATATTCCTCGGGATGTCATTTCTCTACCGAGTAGTAAGGCGATAATTTGTCGGTATACAATAACGTAATTCCCGAGCCACCCATCCATTTTTTGGCGTCTCTATGCATTCTCCCATCTTTAACCACCCACCATGCCACCAAATCGCTCTCGATCGAACCGAAACTCGCGGGAACAAGAGGGACGCATCTTATTAGTTATAGAAGCTTTTAAAAAAGGAGAAATCAGCTCAATCCGTGAAACAGCACGTCGATTTAACATACCGCGTTCCACCCTTTCTGATCGCCTTAATGGCCACCAATTTCGCATTGAAAAACGCGCCAA